TGAATGGTATCCATTGGCACCTCTCATTCATTGATATCCACGTTGAAAATCATCCAAGAAAAAAGAGAACAGTACTTCAGGGCAACTCCATGAATTGACGTCAAGAATGGTGAGTGAATCGCGTAATTTTAACAGGTTCACTCTTTAGTGAATCAGAGTTATCAAAACTTTGTCGGTTGGCTGACTGCTGCATGTGGTTGTCTCTTCCCTTAGAATTTAATATTGCAATCTTATTCATTTTGTTCCGTTGCTCTTGTTCTTGTTCTTATGTGAATATAAATGTAACAAATAAAAAAACCTTAACATTTGTTCTAGGGTTCGCATGACTCTCATGACTCGCATGGCTCGTATGGCTCGCACTGGCTCGCCCTTTGGCTTGCAGGTTTATAAAACTCAAGTTAATACCATGATCCTCCAGTTCATACCTGCTTGTATTGCCCATATACATGTATTTCCCATGCTGCTAGCAGAGGTTTCTTTCTGGCAAGTCTTTTAGCATGTACGAAGTCATTTGCATCTCTTGTATTTCGCATAGTAGGGTTTTGATGGTTATTTTTATTAATCCATCAATGAGATATTTACAAATTTTGAACTTAACATNCCACCGCCCCACCGCTACTCGAATGGGTAGGTGAATGGTATCCATTGGCACCTCTCATTCATTGATATCCACGTTGAAAATCATCCAAGAAAAAAGAGAACAGTACTTCAGGGCAACTCCGTGAATTGGCGTCAAGAATGGTGAGTGAATCGCGTAATTTTAACAGGTTCACTCTTTAGTGAATCAGAGTTATCAAAACTTTGTCGGTTGGCTGACTGCTGCATGTGGTTGTCTCTTCCCTTAGAATTTAATATTGCAAGAATTTAATATTGTGATCTTATTCATTTTGTTCCGTTGCTCTTGTTCTTGTTCTCATGTGAATATAAATGTAACAAATAAAAAAACCTTAACATTTGTTCTAGGGCTCACATGACTCTCATGACTCGCATGGCTCGCATGGCTCGACCTGGCTCACCCTTTGGCTTGCATGGCTCGCTGGCTCGCAGGTTTATAAAACTCAAGTTCATACCTGCTTGTATTGCCCATATACATGTATTTCCCCTGCTGCTAGCAGCAGTTCACATCTCTTGTATTTCACATAGTAGGGTTTTGATGGTTATTTTTATTAATCCATCAATGAGATATTTACAAATTTTGAACTTAAAATTTGGCCTGTGACTACCCAGACAGACAGAGAGGTGCAGACGAGGGTATATAGCAGGACACACCTTTACACCAGTAGTTAATTCCTTTGTGGAAGAAGACCTTGAGCCTCTCTTGACTGAAGCAGGGAGACCAGACTGAGGAAAATTAGCTTCTGCATGGGAAAGAACATGGCAAGTATTAAATTACAAAAATGCTTCAAACAGACAGCACGAAATCATACAGGTTATCAAAAAACACATTTTGAATTGCTTCAAGAAATACATCATTTTTTATTGAGCGTATGCTAAATGAATTAAGCTTAATTAAGGTGGCTTACTCAGAGACTCAGTAGTGCGCACTATGATTGTCTGCCAGACGTCAGTATTAATTGCACGTGCAAAAATGATGCAAGTAACCCTAAGAAGAAACTAAAACCACTCAAGCACTTCAGTATACGTAGCAATAGTTTCAAACTCCATTCAAACATGTGTTTAAGCCCAGGGATAAAAAAGTGTGACAAAAAAGTTTGATAAACAACAAGTAAAAGAGCTCTAATTTACTTTTGCTTTCTCCCACGTGATACATGGCGTCAAATGAGCGCATGCTTGATTAAATAAAGGGCATGCACAATATTCAATTCTCGTCCAAGGCTGTAAGAGCCAGTCTTTGATCCAGGACTGCTCAAAACCCTACCATACAACCCATGATGAAATTTTCACAGTTGATTTGTAGGGGTGAATCACGTTTGGAACCAAAATTTTAAAAAAAACCCTGTAAGACCGGTAAATTTTGAGAAAAACAGACTTAACCTACTAGTGCCCAGTCTCTCCTTAGGTACCCGGTCGTTCATTTTGGCTATTTGTTGGCGTTTCACATAGAATCATGTTAATGGTAAATGACTTAAACAAACAGTAAAGAGAGAAAGGAAAAAAAATCTTGGAACATTTTTCAAAAGAGTTAGAAGTTGGGCTGTTATAATCCATCAAAACTGTAGTAAGCCACCTTAAGTAATTTTTCAAGATTTCAAGAACATTTCAATGCAACAAGTTGTTGGAATTTCTAATGCGACAAGTGTTTTCTACAGGGGTTTGAATTTTTAGTAATCAGTTATTACATGTTAATCGATAATAAACAGTTAACTAACATATATCCTGTGTCCAGGTAGATACATAGCTCGTATGTAGAATCAAACTAGGAGTCTCATTCATCGTAGTTCATATCCGTCACCACGTGGTTTTGATTTCTGTCTCACCTTTTCCTAACACTGCGGCCACCTCCTGATCGGGTTCCAGGTGGCTAGCTAGCTGATCTTGGGGCTCTCCTTGCGACTCTTGATTCCCTAACATTGTGTTTCAAGCTTTCAATCGATTCACAGAACACAAGTTCGCGAAATCTATTCGTCAACAAAGTTCATCAAAACAAACGATGAGTCTCGTTCCAGTCCTAACCGAGCAGAGAAAGAAAGTGACTATAAAATGTTTAAGCAAGCAACCGGAACGATGATCCTGCTGGTATACGTTGGATCAATAGTGATCTAATCGGCTTTACATATAAAATGAAGAATACAAAAGCAAAAACCGACACAACGTAGAATGATTTTTTGAAGGTGTACTATATTTCGGCTGGCCAAACCAGCGTTCTTCAGGTACATAGAGGATATTACACGGTAGCTCGAAGATATGAATTTTATGTTCTCGTGGCAAGAACAATATCTCACGAGTTCGCTTCGCTCACTCGTGAGATATTGTTCTTGCCACGAGAACAT